CATTTATCAATAAATTTTTAGCTTATATATATCTTAGTTACTTTTACATTAAATCTTTATAGACAATCAATATTCTATTTATTTGTTTTCCCCAAATTTTAATTTCCCATCAATATTCAAATTTAACTTTTAATATTTATACTTCCAAGTTTTAAATGACCAAAGTTTTCTTTATCTTAATTCATAGCATAATCTAGTATTCAAAGTACACATCTGTTTGAGTATATTCTATTTTGATTAGTAACATAACATCCTCACTAATAAATCCAAACCCCAATTTTCTTCAGCCTTATTCTAGCTTTCTTTCTTTGCCAACTCGTCTTCCATGTCTGTGCTTTTAAATAATCAAATAGATCTCCCTCTGTTGCTGTATATATTATTTGAGATAAAAGAAACCATCCAATCGCCATTCTTTTGGGAGGAATAACAAATCGTTTCTCTATTATTCCATCTCCCCGTAGTTGTCCTGGAATGTTTATCTTCCCTTCGGTCTGTTCTTCTTCTTGCTCCTCAGATTTCTTCTGGTTTATATAGAAAGTCTTTTCCATTTTCAGTGTTATCAGTCCCTTTTATGGGTTTTCCATTAACTGTGTTTGTTTGTCTGTTGAGTCCTCTATCATAGTATTTGATTGTCCACTTCTTCTATTGTGTTCTGTGTAGTTGATTCTGTGTAGTTTAATTGTAGTCAAAGTTAGGGTTTGAATATCTAGGCTGACATCTTGTTCTTTTCTCTAGTGTCTTATTTTGTCAGAAGCTGTAAGAATAGTTTCATGAATTGCTTTCAACATAGAAAGAATCTGTTCCTGATCTTCATCCATATTCTGTTAGTGGTGTATTAAATCAAAAGCTTTACAATTGGGATGAGAATAATTTTATCACTAGGTATGAACTTCTCACAGCTGATATCTGCCAAAGTTGAAGGAGTCTTATCTGTAGTCTGGGCTTCAAGCCAAGTCTCTTTTAGACAATAATAGGTTGTAGTATCAGATTTAGCCACAAGATGTCACCAATGCCGTTTAAGGTTTTTTAAGTCCAAAATTTGTATAATTCTTTTTCCAATTTTACTTCTTTTTTGTAAATAAAAACCCAAATCTTCAGTTGGGATAAGAAATCTTTTGGTCCCCAAATTTTAGAAACATATAAATCCAGTTAAAATAAGGCTATTCTTTCAACGTTTTAAACTCCCCTGAATAGTCAGACACCGCTGCTCTTAGAGGGTGGGATAGGATTTTCCTTCCCTCTCTCCACAGGAGGGAAAATACTTTGAGCAGCTTATACAGGTAGAAAAAATAGTTAGGATTGAAGAGAGGTTCAGATCTTACCCAGTCTCATCCATGCTGCTTTAGAAGTGCCTCGTGGTCAGTTTGACTTTGGCTGTCTGCAGCCTAGTGACGGGCCATATTTCTATGACTGGTCTTTCGTCTGCCAGTTTGGAGGGCTGCCCTGGATCAAGCGGAAGGGCTACTGCCCTCCTGCAATTAAGCGGGGATCCCATCCTTGCTTGTCGCCCCTACAGGGCAACTTTCCACTCTTTCCAGGGTTCCCCAGCAGTGCGAAATCGAATGCGGAAGATGGAGCTCGCCTTCCAGCGTCTGCAGTGGCTGCAATGGCAAACCGGAAGTCGATTGCTTCTCTCTTTAATTAGTTTCTATCCGTTGCTTCTTTGGAGAAGCACCTGAAGGCAGGACAAGAAGCAATGGATGGAAACTAATCAAAGAGAAGCAACCTGGAACTAAGGAGAAATTATATAATAGCGTAGGTTGCACTGGGACAGATAAGTAGTTGCTTGGCTAAAGGCCAGTTATAATAAGGTGATGCTATGGATGCAGGGGTCAAACTGCCGGACCGTGGGCCAGTTTCATCATACTGAGGCTGCACCCACCCGATTGCTGGCAATGCAAAAAGAGTCGCGATACGTCATGACACGTCACGTGATGTGGTGAGTTTGACACCTGTGCTATGGAGTCTTAGACCATAAGACTTAGCAGTGACATGTAGGTAGATACAGTATGGATGTTGGAATGTGACATAGCTCAAAGATGCAGCTTGATGGACGTGAAATCAGTCTTTTTAGCAATAAATCTCATTTAGCATGTAGCAAATTGTAATGAGCATTGGATTTTGAAGACTACATTTCCCAATGGCCTTTCTTATTTCTGAGTGACAGAAAAGGATTGGTTTCCTAAAGGAATTTTCAGAGATTGATTGGCTTCACTAAGCCATAATTTGTTTTGTATTTGTTGATCTAAATAATTGCTATAGAAATTATATTTCTACCACGCTTGGAAGAACTGCCATAATGTGTACACTGACTATGGTATGTGAATAGGATATGATGCCATGTTAGATTAAAATATGTAGACTACTTTGTGGCTTAGTATATCTATCATGCCAAGCCATGTTTCTCTATGATATATGAACCCCTATTCAACTATAGTAGTTTTAGTAATAGTAATTTCTACAATCCATCTGACTTCTGACTAAACATTAACTTGAGTTTAATAAGGTGGGGAACAAAAAATGTAATCTTAATTATTTTGTAAAATATATGAAAGGAAGACAAGTTTTTCTTGCAGCAAGGATGTCAAAAGGATGAATCCTGCATCCACTGTAATTATGAAAAAATATGTAACTAGTTCTTTTCAAATGCAGTTGTTCTATTTAATTGATTTTGCTGGCAGAAAAATAAAATAAATAAATAAAATTAAAAGATCCCCTCCCTGTGAATTACTGGAGGCAGCTGAGAACTCCATTGGAATCTAATTGCTGCAAACGTGCTAGTTAGCTGCTGGTAATATTTATTGTGGAAGCAATGGAGAAGGGAGTGGCCAAGGTAAGAAGTGGTGTGTCTGTGTGCTTGGGGGGAGAGGGGGGACGGAGGGAGGGAAAGCTGCTATCAGCAGCTGCATGTAGGCCTGGGTTGCTTCTTTTCCTCCCTTTCATCAACACAAAAGGTTTCTGTTGGATGCTTTGCATGTAGGCTGCTCAAAAGTGTTTTATTCATATTTAATTGCTGGCTTGCTACAGTTCCCATCTTTAATTACTGTGTTAAAAAGTAGGCTATAAAATGCATTCACACTCAATTTGTTTTCTTTTAATTTCTGCATATATAATGTACTCCTTCACTGTTGGCTCTGTTATATGGATTTAAATGTGTCTATGTGTATGCATGCATATGAGGTAAGTAGGGAACAAGAAAACAGCCTTCTTATTTTTTTTTCTGCTACCAGATTTTTAAACAAGCTTGGCCAAACCCCAAGGGATTCAAGAAAGCTTTGAAGCCAATCCCAATTGTAAGGTTGAACCTTCAGTGGAAAATGCCTGTATTTTTTTTCCCCATGCTCTCTGATAAGTCCAATTCACTCATGCACTTTTCCGGCTAATTCTCGTCTTAGGACTCCCCTAACTGAACAGCAAAAATCTAGACAATTGCTAGACAGCAGGAAAGAGTTCAGATTTAATTCTATTTCATGGTCGTCCAAATGTTTGCAGCCCAGATATGGCAATCCTACCTATTCGGCTTTTCATCTGTCTAGCTTTTCACTGTCTGTTTCATCTTTCATTGAATGGGATTTCAGTTAACACAGAACCATGGCTATACGCAGGGTTTGAATCTGTTATCCTTAATTAGGGTCGGGTTAATCATCAAAATAAACCATGTTTGGTTTAATTATGGTTATTAAATAAACATTGATTGGTTAGGTTCGCACAGTACACTTACTCAAAGTCAGCCACACAGTGACATAGCACAATGTGTGAGTTCAGCCATTATCCAGATAAAGCATATTCTAGTCTCATACAGTGTACTAAGCCATCATGTGATCTGCTTGGTTCTTGCTCAGTGTGGTTATGAGCCCCACCAGTTAAACTGCTATGTCCATTAGCACTTATTTAGCAAATTATGATTTAAAAACATTGTGTTTATAGTTTTATATATGAACACAGTCAATTAGAAAATATGTGAAAAGCCAAAAACTTTGCTAATGTAAGAATAGCATTGTTGGATCATACCTGCATTTGGTTTTTATATTAATCAAATAAATACATATGGAAAGGTCATGAGCAGGGCATATCTATTCTGTTTCTTTCATTTTAGAATTGTTTTGTCACCTTTGGGTCTACAGGGACAGTGTACAAAAATATACATATTGAAGCAATACCATCTAAATCTAAATTAACAGTGTCTCTGGAAAGCAGAGAACACAGCTCAATTTTCAGAGACCGAGGCATATCAGTGGCTAGTTGCCTTCTCTGTGATTCTGACTTCCATTTAAGTTTTCTTTTAGATCTTTGGATCATATTTTTAACTAGCAAAAAACAAGTGATGTTTGTGTTACGTTAACAGTAATTTTAGCAGCACAAAGTGTGATTACAAAGAAAATTGTGATATGACTATGAATTTCAGCCCACTGATTACAGAACATTTTGTGGTAAACCTGGTTGTTGCCTAGTGGAAGAGATTATCTTTACTAGCCAAGGTTTATCTAAAACGACAATGTTCTAAAAACAGTGAGAAAAGACTTCCAACTCTCCATGGCTGAAGTGACTGATCTCAAAGTGGACCTTCCTGGGTAAAAGAGCAACAGAGAAATGTTATTGTAGAAAGTAAAATTTTCGGTTAAATTTTATTTTCATGGAATAAATAAGGATGAAGTACTTGTAATATTATTTATGCTACGCAGCTCACCAGTGCTAGAATGAACATGTCATACTAAAAACACTACTTTTGGTTATTGTTGAAGAAGTTGAATGTAAAAATTATTTAATTAAACAGCCAAGCTTCTTCTTAATTATGGTTCAGTGTATGGAGAAACTACATGATGACAACTATGACTTTCTGGAGTTTTTTTGTATGAATTTTCTCAGTGACAGTTTTTTTTCTAAATATCACAATAGAATGTTATATTGCTGTATAATTGCTGGTTACTGCCGAAGTCCAAGGGCTAAAATACTGGCTGACTTAAACATCAGCAAATTCGAGATATCTCTTTTCCTTACAGATCAATGAATTGTTTGCCAGTTTTGAAGATGTTCCACTGGGGGCAGCATCTTTGGCCCAAGTCCACAAGGCCGTACTACAAGATGGGAGGACAGTTGCTGTGAAGGTTCAACATCCTAAGGTCCAAGCACAGAGTTCTAAGGATATTCTACTGATGGAGGTAGCTTTCTGTGGCTACTTTATGATTATGATTCTTTTATTTTATTCTTTTATTTCAGTGAAGATATCTTTAGCTTCTTAAAATGTTTCAGAAAATAAGTTATATATTTTTCAACTGGTATCTGAAAGAGAAGTAGTGTATACTATATCTATGTGTGTGTATAATCAAATACAGAATAGAGATGGTTTGCGTTTTCAAGCTCTGTGACTGCATAACTTTTATCTGAGCATTTTATTTAAACCATAAACAGACAACCAATCGCCAGCAGATCCAAGAGACTTTCTGTAACCTTTCCAACCCCTCCATTATGGCCTCTGATTTATCACTGCTACCATTGGCTTTTGTTGATATGTTAATACTGTATCCCAGTTTTCTTTGATCCTCTAACTTGCTGGTCCTCACTCATTATTCTCAATGTTCTTCTATTTCTACTGACTTCTATTGCCACATATGGCATTGGTGCTGAAAAGATTGTGCATATCACATTTAACACAATCAGAACTCATATATCTACCACAAAGGCAGTATCACACAGCATGCTAAACTGTCTTGTGTTTTCTTTTTTGGGCTCAGTATGTTTTTTGAACCTGTCCAGTTTGGTTTACAAGTCATAGGTTTTGGTTGGTTGTTGTGCCTTTTGGTGCTCTGATTAGAATGCAGTATTGCAAGCTAACTCTGCCCACAGCCAGGAGTTCGATCCTCACCGGCTCAAGATTGACTTAGCCTTCCATCTTTCTAAGGTCAGTAAAATGAGGACCCAGATTGTTAGGGGTAATATGCTGACTCTGTAAACTGCTTAGAGAGTGCTGTAAAGTGCTATGCTATTGTGTCAACTCACCAAATATGATTTGATTATATTGAGACCCTTATTTAGCACCATTATTATATATCACATGTTATGCAATGACTGAAGAAGTCAGTTCTGGAGACTATTAAGCAAGAATAAAGACCTTTCTTTTCCTCAGTTTGATGTTCATCCAAACTGGAATCTTTGTGAGGGAGACCAAGATTGTAGACCAGTGGTTCTCAACTGTGGGTCGGGACCCCATTTGGGGTCAAACGACCATTTCACGGGGGTCAGCAAACAACGCAGTCTGCCATTTTTTTCCCTTTTCCCTAGCTGTCCTACTCCCTCTTATTGGTGGCCACACCCACTTGGGGGTCACCACAACATGGGGAACTGTTTTATGGGGTCACGGCATTAGAAAGGTTGAGAACCACTGTTGTAGACAGTACACATATTCACAATTGACAATTATATTCTTTTTAGCCCTACATTGTCAATACATCAGAAGTTTTGTGAACGGAAACAGAATAGCCAGCTCTCTTCCAGTTTCTTTATCTAGACTTCAATAATGCAAACTAAAATGGTTTCTTCATCATATGACCACATTTGAGGAAATATGCTTTAAATGTGCATTCTTCTCACCTATTTCCCATACCATCTTTATTTTTCCAAAAGACCTTGGAAATAGTTGATTGCAAACCAAAGATGGGGCAGCAGAGTGGCATGACTGCAAAGAAGAAAATTTCAGTTTCAACCTGCATTAACAGAAATATAATCTGCAATTAATAGAAAGGAATCCTTTCACTGTATTTGTTTTTTCCCCAACTCAAGTACTGTATCCACATTTTAAGAAGGATTCAGAGAAACTGAAGCAGATTCAGGGAAGAGTAACAAGGATGATTGGGGAATAGAAATTAAGTTCTGTGAAGGAATTAGGTATGTTTAATCTTGAGAAAAGACAACCCAGGGGAGATGTGATAGTGCTCTTCAAATACTTGAAAGGCTGTCATGTACAAGAAGAACAAGATATGTTCTTTCTTGCCCAAGGATACAGGGCACAGAATGATAATTTAAATTACAGGAAGACAGATATGGTTGAATGTTAGAAAACATTTCTTAACAGGAAGAGTGGCTCTCAAAAATGGAACCAATTATATAGAAATGCTGTGTGATATGCTCAATCAGAGGCTAGAGTAGACAATCATTTTTCTAAAATGCTTTAATTTGGATCCCTGTCTGGACAGAATGTTGGATGCAATGATCTAAGTTATACCTTCCAATTTATGTTAAGAGTTCAGTTATAACAATAAGGATGCTTTTCCTATTTGCCAAAGGTAGGGATGGTTAAGATCATATGACCTCATATAGGTGTAGGAATTGATCATGTGCGATGATAGTCTAACCATGAAAGACTTTTTGAAGTTAAACTAGCAACTGTTCTTTGAGTGTAGTTTCAAGGAGTTTCTGGTCACAGAGATTTACCATATTTAGTTCTTGATGTGGTTGTTATTCCCCAGGTGAATCTGGTATGTAATTTGGGGAATGCTCTTAAACTTTCAGTTCCTGCTTAATGGGCAGTTGGCAGTCTTTGCATAATCCCATATTCAGTGTCAATTTCATCCTTTACTGTATCAGGAACCATTCATGCTCTACAAGTAGCCCTTGACTTATAACTCATTCATGACTGTTTGAAGTTATGGTGCTGAACGAAGAGACTTATGATTGGTTCCTGAAGTTATGGCCATTGCAGCATCCCCATAGTTACATGATCAAAATTCAGATGTTTGGCAGCCTGCATTTACGACCACAGGGGTGCTTCAACTATCCCTCCCATCCATTTCCACTCATTTATGCCCTTTTGGCCCTCCACACTCCCTAGCCGCTGTCACCCTAGCTGGCCCTCACCTGTCTTCTTGTTCCTGCTGCTGACAAAGCATGTTCAGCCTTGTCCTTCTGAGGCAGCTGCTGATCACATGAGGCTTTCTTCTCAAGGTTGTGCATGTGGTTTCCTCACGAGATCTAGGGAAGATGGCTTCACGTGGCTAGCAGTTGCCTCACAAAAGACCAGGATGAGCATGCCTTGTCAGCAGTGGGAGCAAAAAGATGGCTACGGTCAGCTGGATCAGTGGAGTGCAGGGTAGCAGGAACCTCGGAGTATAGGATGGCAAGGATGACTGCCTGGAACTGATCTGGAGTGGCTGGAGCTTCCTGAGACACTGGCTTTGCATTATGCTATAAGGGTTTTCTGGGATGTGGTGGCTTTGTCCTGTGCTACTGGGGCTTCCCAGGACACTGTGAATTTGCACACTGCAGGGTGGCCCAAAGGGCAGAGATGGGAAAGTAGATAGTTGGGGTTAGTTGGAGACAGTCCCTTACCTTACTGAAGCTTGGGGCTGAAAGAGACCAAGCATGGAATGGGGTGGATCCTTGGCTAACTACTGATAGAAATCACTTAATAAGTGTTATAGAGAATGCTGGGGTTGCTGTCATGTGGTTGCATGATGTTGCACTTTATAACAAACTAACAGAATAACAGAGTTGGAAGGGACCTTGGAGGTCTTCTAGTTCAACTCCTTGCTCAAACAGGAAACCCTGTACCATTCCTGATAAGTGTCTGTCCAGTCTCTTCTTAAAAGCCTCCAGAGAGGGGGCACCCACAAGAGAGGGAGAGATTTTCTATCTATTTTCTATCCACCATCCTAGAATTAATGAATGAATGAATTAATTAATATATTAAATTTACAGATCACCCATGTCATTCACAGTTTTGCTTTTGGAGCTTTGCTAATTGGTAAAGCTATTCATTAATTTGTTTACAATGTAGACTATGGGCCTTTGTAAAGGTAGTAGGCAAAGGGAGAGAATTATGTACTTTTATTTCCATTAAACATGGAATCCTTCTCCTTCCTTTGCATCTAGGACAGTTCTGTATTTATATGGATGTACTCCTATTGCATGTAGATTGTCCCCCTGTGCTAGTTATCTGTGGCATAGTAATCAACTAGGTTTTTGATTTATGATTTCAGATCCTTGTCTTGGTTGTGAAGCAAATCTTCCCAGACTTTGAGTTTATGTGGTTAGTGGACGAAGCTAAGAAGAACTTGCCTCTTGAACTTGATTTCCTTAATGAGGGAAAGAATGCTGAGAAGGTAGCCTACATGCTCAGATGCTTTGACTTCCTAAAGGTATGATGTATATGTGATTGTATGGATGCTCATATATACCGTAAAACCTTGATTCAATGGATCCCCATATAGTAGGCTTGGAATGTAATGGACGAAACTTCAGGCCAGATATCTCCAGTATAATGGACAAATTCAGACGAGGCAGTTATGATCAGCATGACATATGACCATAATTCTGGGCTCAATTGCAGTTGCAAGTTGAAGATTACTTGTACTCTATTTCTGTTACTATTGCTACTCTACAATGTTCTACTACTATTCTATAGTAGTATTGATACTATACTATATTCCATTACTATTATTATACCACACTCTATATTATTACTTGTACTTCTATGCTACATTATACTATTTCTATCAGTAATATACAATTGCTACTGTATCACTACTATTATTAGTACAGGTAATCCTTGACTTACAACAGTTCATTTACTGACTGTTCAAAGTTACACTGGCAATGAAAAAAATGACTTATGACCATTTTTCACAGTTACGATCTTTGAAGCATCCCCATGATTATGTAATCAATATTCAGACACTTGGCAACTGGTTCATACTTATGACTGTTGTTGTATCCCAAAGTCATGTGATCATTTGCAACCTTCTGACAAGCAAAGTCAATGGGGAAGCCAGATTCACTTAACCAGGTTACTAACTTACGAACTGTAGTGATTCACTTCACAACTGTGGAAAGAAAGGTCGTAAAATGGGGCAAAACTCATTTAACAAATGTCTCACTTGACAACAGAAATGTTGGGCTCAATTGTGGTTGTATGTCAAGGACTTTCTGTATACAACAGTGTTTTACTGAAAATCTTCTGTCAGGGCAAGCAGGTTTTCCTACCATTTGGCTGTAGTCAACCCACCTGTAATTTGAATCAAATGGAGATAAGTCCGTTATTTTGGATAGCATTGGAGATTTCCTATCACAATAGTTCTTTTTCCAAAAGTGCATGTACTGAATATTTACAGTACTCATTCAGGTGACCATGGGTATTACTGCCATGGGTACATAGCTGGATTGCAAATGCATATCTTTAGATAAGATGTTTATTTACAGAGAATGCATGTGACTTGCCACTGTCTATTTCTTTCAAAAGCACTGAGCCAGGCCCAAAGTCACATGATCTTATAAGATTGAACAGCAGCTATTAGTATTGAACAGCTTGGAGCCCCTCTTGTAGGGCCACATACCTGACTTGCATACATCTGGACAGCCACTATCTGGCAGCAAAGAGATAAAGAATAGAGAAGAATGTTTGTAGCTCAGGGTTGAAATGAGGGGTCCTTGATGCTCTCTGAGCTCGGTTGTTTTCTTGCAGACATTTCTTTACCCAAACTAGGTACACTGCTGATGTTACCTAGTTTGGGTGATGAAACATCTGTAAGAAAACAGCCAAACTCAGAGAGCACCAAGGACCCTTTAGATAAAGAATCTGCTAACTGTGTACTGTCAGATAGTAATCATCTGAAATTGAATTGCCCCACCTTTCTCAACCTGTCTACATGGCCCAGCCATTTTCAGTCTTGAACAGAGCCTGGGAATGCTCCACTCAGATTGAATGCTGAAGCAAACAGGCCTTTAAAGGGTAGAAAAAGCCAAAAGCTGATGGCTCTTTCTAAGTGAATGTTTATTACAAATATTGCACCTATGTCCATGGCTGGTGTAACAACTTGGAAAGTGTGAAGCAAATCCCCATGGAGACTGCCAGTCACATTCTTGCTGGGTGAAAAAGCCGCTGCAGTATTGATTCAGGGAACAATAACAAATTATTGCAAAAAATGGCTTAATAATACATTTCTTCTGTCCAGCTTGTCAATTCCAAGACATTTTCATCAACACTAAAGACAGCAAGGGAATTGTGTTACTGTGTAATATTTTTTTTTCTTGAGGGATGGGGAACCCTGCAGCACAGCAGGGAAATAGATTTCTCAGTGTGAACCGAGTTAAGCTTGTAAAGCCAAAGATAAATTGTTTCAACACACAGGCATTAGGGCCCAATGTCTGTGCATATTTTAAGCTTTTCAAAGACTATGATTTTGAGCAACTGAGACTTACAAAGCTTAGTAAGATCCATTGACTGTTGTTGTAAATTTTGAAATAAGGATAAGTGTTGATTTAGGATTAAAATAAGCAATGCCCTTTTGGATCAGTGGATTTAAGGGCCAATGTATAGTAACATCAGGTTTTGTTTTGTTTGTTTTTTTTAAAAAAGAACTGTTAGCATCAGGAATAAGTGTTTTTTTTTTAAAGTGAAGAACAAAAAGAAAATTTAGAGATAATTCTGAGCAAGGTTAGAAGAAAAAGGTCCTTACCTTTCTTCATGTCCTCTGAATTATAGCAACAGAAATAGTCCTTAGACTTATATACCGCGATAGAACACTTTACAGCACTCTCTGAGCGGTTTACAATGTCAGCATATTGCCCCCAACAATTTGAGTTCTTATTTTACTGACCTCAAAAAGATGGAAGGTTTGGAGTCAACCTTGCATGAGGATCGTTATTTTATTTATTTTTCACATTTTGAACCGCCCATCTCAGAAATTACTAGTAATGTTTCCGATTATGATAGCAATGTTCATAGAACATGCTCTCCTATAGCTAAATGAACTGTATTAACCCAATTGCATCAGATCTTACTACACTACCAAATTATAAAGTAACTGTAATATTTTCTTTGACTAAGAAACTTGCCAGTTTTTGAGGCCAAGTCCTGGATTCTTCGGACCAAGTATGCTATGCACAGAAGTGAGGTGTTGCACATGCAGAACGATTGCTGTACCACTGAACTTAGGTTGTCCAAGGCAGATGTGAATTGGAATTCAAGTTTCTGAAATTTAGCATCGGCTTTTGTTTTACCAAATTGCAATACATTTACAGAATGGTCTGTGGCTGAGAATATGCAGTACTTTATAACTGCTTTTTTTACAATTACAATTAGTGTTAGTGAAATATTTCCAGTCCTGAACTCTCTTAACTATTTCCTGTAGCTACTCTTCAAGGGATGAAGAAAGGTTAATTTGATCTGGAATAATCTACTTACATATTCATATTTCCAAGACAAAAAGGACCACTCTGCTCAAGTGTTCCTATCTCATGCTAAAAAAAGATGGCTTGTCTAGTTTTAGCTTCCTCTGCTTCCCTTAATATCCTTCAGAGTCTTAAGAGTCCTCTGTTATAGGTTCCAAAAATTTATTGGGAGCTTTCAACAAGACGTGTTCTTTTCATGGAGTTCATGGAAGGTGGACAAGTGAATGACAAGGACTACATGGACAGAAACTGCATCAATGTCAGTGAGGTAATATTCCTTTTGACTATGTCAGCAACCAGTGAAGGTGAGCTAAAAGTGTGCTGTTTATGATATTCAATGGTGACATCCGAAAGGTTTAATTAAGTTGAGCTCTTTAAAGTTGACAGTTCCCAGAATTTAGGAGTTTAAGAGTTAATGAAATTTAGGGAATAATGACACAAAGGCATATCTAAGGATTGCATTATTGAAAAGAATTAAAACATACATTCAGAAGATTAACCTGCAACAGAGTTAATTTTTTAAGTACAATGGTGTAATTATATTCATTCACAGAAACTACTAATTGTAATCATTATCACACATATATTGAAAGCAATAGTGTGGTTTAACTGTCCTTATGGAAATTGTCCAAGGGGTAGAGACAAGCAGTCATAGAAGTCTAAATTACGTTGTGACATTGCCAAAACCAGTTGACTATATTAAGGTAGATTGTCATGTTGTGTTTCCCGATTGGCTATACTATTGATGTAATTATTCTTAGGAAGAAGCCAGAAAAAAAATGTCAGGTAAGAAAATAAGGGAGGGATGGAGCTGAAAATTGTATAATTGGTTGTAGAAACTATTTCAGTACTATATCCCTGTGACTCAGAGTTCTACATACAAATTTGATGTTCAAATACCATTTCTACTATATGCCCTACACCTTTACCCTAATTAGAAATATATGTTTAGAGATGTTACACTTTGTTCCAGATGTAGTCATATTTCATAGCCTGATGCATTTCTTGATTATAGGATGCATGTGGCTGGCTATTTGTGGATTAAAGTGTATGTGATTTTTCAGGGAAGAGGCTTAGTTTTATATGCAAAAAATAGGGCAAATTGAGCCTGTCAGATTTGCCCTCCAAGTCAGTGAATTCTGATTGAATTAGTGCTGCCTGCTTTTTTCCCTGTGCACTATTGATGAGCGTCAAAATGCCATTTGGCTGACTAGCTATCAGAGTGCTCCAGCATAAAATCAATTGTACTTAATCTGTCTGTCTCTGAAACTGCTATGTTCCTTTCCCATCATCTTTTTATGCTGTGGCAGAGGTCACTCAACTTCATTTATATACATTCTAGCCTAAATTTCCAAAGGGAAGTCAAGTTACACATTCACTATCTATTAAAAGCCGACATCTATATATTTTCCTACTTTCCACTAGAAAGAATTATTTGCAAAGGTAAGTAAACACTCCCAAATTACATTAATTCACTAATTGGCAATAACATAAAGGGGAACTGACATGCAGAATAACTGCTTCACTGCTTCTCTATGCCTTTATTGTTTCGTTTGTGTTTGTGCTTTGAGTCTCAATATTTGGGATCACAGAAGCCACTTGTGTCAAGGAGCAGGTTTAGTAACAACCTCTGTGTTGTCCTTGCCTAATTATTTTATTTTATCCCTTATAAGTGCTGGTTTCAGACCCCCCCCGAAACCACAACTTATAAGGCAGTGATGGCAAACCTTTTAGAGACTGAGTGCCCAAAAACTGGCCCGCTCCTGCCACGCCCCCACTCCGCCCCACCCTGCCTGCCCACAGGGCCACTCACTGCCTCCAGGGCCCGCCGTAGATCACTCAGGCAGCCCAGCAGCACCATGGCAGCCACGCCCTCTGCCCGCACCCCACAACATCAACTGTGGTGTTGGGGTGTGAGGGCAGAGTCTTGTCTACGCTGCCTGGTTGCCATGTCCTTGGCTGCGCTGCTTCGTGTGGGCCACACTCAGGGGCAACTCTCCTCCAGGGGGGTTGCTGGTGAAGAGGGGGTCGCAGGGGGAGGCAAGGCTGGGGCAACGGCACATGTGCCCACAGAGAGGGCTCTGAGTGCCGCCTCTGGCACTCGTGCCATAGGTTCGCCACCATTGTTATAAGGGATGAGTATATTATAAAGTACGTGAAACATATACTTTTTCAGGTTAATCTGAAAAAGAGCCAGATTATGTTTAATAAATTCACCAAAGAAAGAATTATTTTTTTATATCTGGAAAAGAAGTAGATGTAGTAAACCACTACATATACTTTGGCCAATGGATCTCAGTGGAAGGTGATACAATAAAGGGAATTGAATGGCGTGTTAAATGTGGTTGGCAGGCATTCGGCAAGCTAAGCATAATTTTCAAGAACAATCTCCCTCTATGCCTGAAGAGAAAAATTTTCGATCAGTGTGTGCTACCTGCTCTAACGTATGCCAGTGAAACATGGACACTAACCACTCAATTGATACAAAAATTATGAGTGATGCAAAGAGCCATGGAAAGATACACACTCGGCATTACAAGAGAAGATAGAAGGACCTGCACATGGATTAGAGAACAAACCAAAGTATCTGATATCATTAAGAGAGTAAAAGAATTGGAATGGAAATGGCTGGTCACATAGCAAGAAGAACTGATGGCAGGTGGACCAAGGCAGTCCACTTGTTAAAAAGCATCCACAAAAGTGACCTAAAATTAAATGGATTGGTGACATCAGCAAGTATTGTGGGCCCAATTGACAAAACAAAGCTCAGGACCATGTTGGTTGGAAACATGAGGAAGAGGCCTTCATCCTGCAGTGGCTAGACAGTGGCTAAAATGATAATGATGATGATGAAGTGGTGGTTGTTCATTGGTATGAAAAAAGTACAATTCTTAGGTCACTGTCGTAGAACTGATTTAAAAAGAATTCTTCAGATTGGATTGTTTGTACCATTTTTCTGAGATGGTAGTTTTCAGATCAGAGGACGGCGTTTTGTATGAACACATACAGTATGTTGTTAATATTTAAGCCAGTAGACTGTCTTGAACCTTTCTTATTCTGTGCTAAGGGATTGTTGGAGTTGGAGTCAAACACCTGAATCACAATAGATTTCTGCCTCTTCTGAACTTTTAATAAGATGTTTCATACCTTCCTTGTATAAGATTTGCAGCATATAATGTATGTCCTTTCATTTTAGAACTTGAACACTGCACAATTGTATTAATAACCTCTTATTATTTTCATTATTAAAAATGAGGGTTAGTGCACATTCACATCATAATTGTTTTTCTTAGAACTAACATTTGTTTTATGCCTTTAGACTGAAATATGCAGTATTTTTATTTTAAGTTTATTTTATATTAGGTCTTCAGCGTGGCTTGTACAATTATATTCAAGAGTTGACTAACAAATACTATAAATTAATACAGGTTACCTTTATGCACACCAAGATATGTTTTACAGTCTTGCTAAGAGAAAATAGAAAGCTGCTTTATATCAAGTCAAAGCATTGATCTTTCTATCCAGGCAGCACAACCTGCTGTGATTGGCAGTAATTTTTTGTCAGCCACATTGAGATTAATTTTGTATTCTCAGCGTTCTGAGGATTAAACTGGAAACTTGTGTACTATGTTGAGCTATACAATCCTAAGGCATTCTGGGCATTGACGTCCAACATATCTGGAACAGATTCAGTCAGAGAAAGAAAACATGACACATCACTGTGAACCCATAGTTATAGCCAGACGACTTTTCTTCAGAAAAGTTTTGTCATATTAATTGGGAGAGATTGAAACAGATCGTCTGTTATACAGTATGTTCTTTGTTTTTTCAAACAAAAGATGCTTGAAAAGCAATCTGAGTCTTTCTCTTCTAAATGAAAAGGATCCTTGAGGTGAAAGCTCCCTTCAAAGCAGGTTACTGACATTTATTTTATGCCATCTGTAGGAGGATTATCATTAAAGCTGCCCCAAAGCACATTAATCTGTTTGGATCCATCCAAGTGCTGGACTGTAATAGCATTTAATCAGAGAAGCTTTTGATTTCTAAAGACTGTGGAATATCTGACTGTGGAACAGTTTCTTGGTCATGTGTATGAGCAGAGCCTAGAATGAAAATTAGCTGGGAGACTAAGAAAAAGGGAAAAGTAGAAAGACTGAATGTAGAAAGTGAGGTAAAAGAAAAAGAAGGCCAAGGATATGAGGGACTGAGATATTTCAAGAAAGGAATTGTCTGGAGTCAAATATTTTAGAAGCCAATGTTGGAACAAAAAGTTAAAGTTTTCTTTGGATTGAGTTGGACTCCATGTTTTTTTGACATCAATATGAAATGGTTTACCATCAATTTCTTCCAGTATACTTATACTTCTTAGTCTAGTCTATGGCCTTGTATGTATTATAATCAATGATACTTAGTTTTTCAAAATTGGCCGTGGCTGTCTATTTGTTGCCACTTGCTGTGATATTTATCTGATTCATGTAATAAAATTGTAAGGTGGCTAGATTTCCTTTTCTCCACATTTGGGGAGAGATTGGGAGAATGTCAGGCTCAATATTTTAAGTGCTGAAGTTGCTAAGAAATTGCTGATCCTTAACGTAAAATACAGAAATGTTTCCATTTCTTGCAACTTGACAGTTTTTACCTTTTTCCAGAGTGGAACTATTGGTAATCTTTTTAACCAGGATAAGAGAAAAATTGGCAGAGTCATAATAAAATAGATGAGTTTACTTGTTGGCCTACTAGTTAGTTTTATAATTAACAGAAGAGGTTTGTGCAAAAGATCTAGGTTTTTAAGATTACTTTTCTGAAGAAATACTCCCTGTAGCAAATTCACAATTTTCTATGCCACACGTACACTTTTAGCAACTCCCAGTGAGGGTCAAACAATAGGATTTTAAAGCAAATTTTTTAAAAATACTAACATCAATCAAGATTAAAACTTTGCGTTTTGGTGAGAAGTGGTGAGTCTACCTCTGTGTCCCTCTTTTCCATCCCACTCCAAATTGAGAACATGGAGAGAAAACACAATTTCTAGCTATTTTTCTGGTACAAATGACAGTTCCCAGTTATAAGAAAAGAACAAGAGGCAAAGGGTTAAGGATCCCAACCCCTTAACCATAAAACTTGTCTGAATTGGGCGCCTCCTGCTGATCATTACAGAAAAGACATCCAGTCCACTCTCTATTGTTTAACTCAAATGCCATTGAGTTAAATTTGATAATAACTATGTAGGCAAATGCTCATTATTTTTTCTTGTTTCTGGTACTAATA